CTCTTTCCCTGTGGAGATATAAGCAATACCCTCCCTTTGGGTGGGTTAGCGCCCCATGCCCCCGCTACCCATTTCTTCCTTATTATCATCATTTTTTTCCCCTTTCTCCACCTCCTCCTCAGTTGTCTACCATGTGCATCCCTGCATTTGATCTGGTCCCTGCCATACTACCCAGTCCTCACCCCAAGAATGTTTGTATACAGTAGCTTTTTCCCTATGCCCCTTTTGAATTTGTTTTAAAAGCTTACCTCAGCAGACTCATGTACTTGTCCTTTTGTGCCTGACTTACTTCACTTAGCATGATGTCCTCTAGTTCTTCCTATGCAGTGATGTGCTTCATACATTCTTCCTATGCAGCGATGTGCTTCATATGAACGTATGAAGCACATCACTGCGATTGAGCGATGCATGTATGTATATACCAGTTTTTTAATCCAATCGTCAGTTGGTGGAAATTTGGGTTGCTTCCAACTCCTTGCAATTGTGAATTGTGCCGCAATGAACATTGGAGCACAGATGTCTGGCCTTGGTTTGTTTCTTGCCTCTTCTGAGTATATGCCCAGTAGGGGCATTGCTGGGTCGTATGGTAACTCAATTTCCATCTGTTTCAGATATCGCCAGATCGATTTCCATAGTGATCGTACATACTTACAAGTCCACCAGCAGTGGATGCCCCTCACTGTTCTTTCTGTCACTGTTATCTGAGCTTTTTGGATGGAAGATGAGTGGTTGAGTTCATGCTTACTGATAACTGGCTAGCCAGCTAGGCTAATGACATAATTGTGGACCTGACAAGTGACACTATCCCAACTTGGACAGGTGAATTCTGAAGCCAAGGAAAGCAGCATGCCACAATCCTTAGGAAGGTACCTCTATATGCAGACCAGTGCCCTCCCGTGCAGCTCAAATATTCCTGCAGCATTAACAGCTGGTCTTATCTGAGACAGAAATGGTACAAGCACAAGGTTATTGATGAAAAGACTCTACTTTCCCTCTTCTGAACCTCATCCCTCAGAGCTTGGATTGTAATTTTCAGTGATCTATTTGGTAGTAAAACATTTCTGCTTTCTGCTTTATCTTAACTTTCTCTGTACTTTTTTCTCTTTGCCTAAAGCATACTCATTTTTTCTAGGAAGGAGGAGGAAGGATTGAAGAAAACAATCCTTCTCTTTTAAGGTCATTGCCCCAAAGTTATGCAGCACTTCCCCGTATTTCTCATTGTCAGAACTTGGTCACGTGGTCCGTCATACGTAGTAGTTTCAAGGGAAAATATTCTTTCGGTTGGGAGACAATGTGTCCAGGGAAAAAATGGGGTTCTTATTATGAAAGAATGACATACTTTGAAGTAATACTCAGTGAAAACAGTAAGAAAAAAGTAGCTTGTGATAGCTATAGGATAGTAGGATACATATTCTGTTTTTAATCACCTATAATTTAATTATTTTCCTCTTTGTTTCAAAAGAAGGATTAACAACTTCAGTTTGTTTGCTTTTAAATAGGACTTTCCGTGACATTGCTGAAGATCTGAAGTCTTCAGTAGACTGACGTGGACCCTGCAAAGCTTTCTCTCAGAAGGAGCTCAACCAGTGAGTTCAGCTCGGCCTTGACCTTGGGTCCCTTCAGCTGCGCCTAGCAAGCAGAGCCCTCCCGACTTCACATAGCGAATGACTGGACCAGAGAGAACTTGCCAAGGCCTGCTTGTGCATCTTAAAGCACAGCGTTAGAGCTTAGAACTATGGTTTGCTTACTTAACTGTTTCTAAGGTGGCTTGAAGAACTTCAATTTATATACTGGTACCATGACTTGGAATTTTCCCACTTTGATAATCTGTATTATCATGTATATTTATAAAGTTATTTTAAGAGCTCAAAAACTACTTGGTATTAAAAGTGTATACTATGTACTTTTCTCCAGTTTAAGAAAACAGTTATAAATTTTTTCTCTGACAGTCACTTTTCAATGAAGAGGATTTCCGCCTTTTGATATGTAGCTGTGTGTTAAGCAGTCTGTATCATTCCCTGTTGAAGAGAGAAGGCATCCTAGGGGTAACATTGGTGGTGTGCTGTTGGCTGCTGCACCCATAGGAGACACAAGCGCTGAAGCTCTTCCCCCTGTCCTGGCCCCATGGCACCCTTGTTAGATTTCTAGAACTTGGCTGACCACATTGACGCACTTACTAAGCTGCTCTTAATGGTAAAAACATGGTAGAATTCATGCTAACGTGGTAATTTTTTCTCTTGTTGGTTTTGTTTTATTTAGTGAAAAATCTCAGGAATATCAACATTCTGTTTTTGATACATGTAGCCCTGTTTCATTAGTTGTAAGTTTGCCCATTAGTTACTTATTAGCAGTAGAATTTTATATTTATATTGTATTTTTTCTCTCACCACTTAGCACAGTGCCTTGCACATAAGACACTCTATGAATGAATATTCAATTAAGCAACTTTTCCAATACCCTAGATGTTGCTAACTAGCATATTGTGTTACATTTTGCTAACACCTTTCGCACATGCTATTTTGCAACCTTTTTACACCAACTTTTTCATACCATTTCACATTGTTTCATACTAGTTTCACCTCAATGGGAGAGCTAAGGTTTGAGAAACTTAAGTGAGCAACTCAGCCTCAAGACACTTAGCAAGACTTGAGCTCAGTCTTTCTGATTCTGCTCCTTGCAAACTGCTAGACTGCGCCCCTCCTCGTCAGTGCTGTGAGATAGCATAGCTGTTGCTCCCCATTTGTTAGGAGAGAATTTCAGATGGGTCCGACAGTTAATGATTGGCTGGCACTAGTCTCCACCTCTTTGATTTGCACCTGTTCCAATGCTTAAACAATCATCAGAGTCTTCCTCTATCCTAGAAATATGGAGGAAAGGGGTTTCCAAAGTACCAAAGATTTTCTTTTTGGATAAGAAATATCTTCTCATCATGTAGTATATTAATCATAATTGGCTTAAATGTGTTCTGCTAGTACTTAGGTAAAATGCATCTAGAAAAGATGACTGAGTTCTTTTGGCTGAAACACTTTTCAGTAATGATTATCTGGTATCGTACCATTTGTTTGATTTGGCCACTACATATCTGCATTCTGTTCTTTATTCAGTTTATTCATTCAGAAATTTGTTAAGTTTGCGCTGAATTCTAGGCTTTGCTCCAGGCAGTAGGCGGGGACTTTAAGGAGATGCCTCAGTGAAGGCCTTCTTTCACTTTAAATCTCAGCCAGATCATGTGAAATGCTAAATGTAAATTGTGTGCATTAATTGTTAAAATCAGTTTTGGGTTTTGTTCACTAGGTATTGATAAAGGTTTAGCTATATTGAGCACATATTAGTAAGAAGCACATTATACACAATGAATTCATCTGTGTGTGCTAAGTATGTTACTCCACAATGCTTTTTGTTGCATAAAGTGCTATTACAGATAACCAAACTGAAGCTAACACCCAGCTGTTGGACATGGTTATTAATGTGATTAGAGCGTTTTTAGAGGGGAAATCTGGACTGTGAGAAAGTAGTTCAGAGTTGCCAAAATTAGCAGCAGTGATGCAATACCAGCCTGAAATTACAGGAACTTTACAGCCCCATTCAGAAACCTGAGACAAGAAGACATCTAACCAAACCCCCAAATCCAAATCCACGCCTGTCAATTCCAGTTCCTAAGGCTCGTATGGGACAGAGTAGAATGCCCCTTAAGGTTTCCGTGGCTGTAATGTGTACAGAAGCAGACTGCCACATTTTTCTCCTGCGGAGTGCTGGTGGGTTCCAATCACCTGAGCCTTTTCTCTTAGCAGCTAAGCACTTTAGCCACTTAACAACTAGGGCTCCTTGGGAAGTCTCCCAGAGACCTCAAAAAAGGAAAGGAGCATCCATCCCAGCAGGCTCTGTTTCTCCCATTTTTAAAGCCTCAAATAGTGCAAAGATTTTATAGACTTTTCATTAAGCATAGGGACCAACTGGTGTGAATTGATGGATATCTTAAGTTCTGGTCTCAGAGGTAACATATCTTCAGATGCCTGCTCAGAATAGTCCCAGAAAAAGAAAAAGAAAGTTTCCCTGGGAACAAACCACGTGTTCATGGAGTAGAAATTGCTTCAGTAAATACCAGTAGATTAAATTCCATCACCATATCTTGTCCTTTCATAACTTTATTGAAGGTTGATTTCAAGTATCCATTGACTGTTCACCTGTCAACTGAATGGAAGTGGGGTGTTGGTGGTGGGGAGGGCACAGGGAGAGGTGGAGAGCAAAACTCTATAAAAATGTGCACATCTATGTCTTTTTAAGTGATCTGTCCGACTTAATTATTTTGCAAAATAGCCGGTCTTACTTATTTTTCAAAATAGCAAGGGTTCCCTAGTCCATGAGAGTCAGCAGGCAGTTTTCCCTTGAGGTCTGTGCCTGGTGGGGGTTGACTCCTGATCACGGGGGATGGTGAGAAGTCCTTTGGAGACCTTGGGCTTACAAAACCGCTGCAGCCTTTGGAAAGAAATGGCAGCCTTTTACACAGCGAAAGTGAGCTGGTAGTCTGCTAGCTTTGATCTTAACACTGCCCCTTGCGACCCATCAGGACTTTGTCGTACTGCTAATTCCCACATGGTTGTGTTAATGCTTCAGGAGCATTACAGTACTAAACAGGAAATGCTCAGAGATGAAAGTTTTTAAAGAATCAATCAATCAATGGGCAGATATATTGGTGTGATCTACTGATGGTACATTTTCATTTTCTAGACACACACTTAAAGGAATAACACTCATAACAACCAGTTCACTACAGATAGAGCAGAGGTTAGTTTGTGCCCCCTACCCCCCCATTAGTTCATGTTGTACCTAGTTTCCCTTTTCCCTGTGGTTGAGCAGCATTTGCCAAAGTGTGTTTCTTATAGCAGTAGTTCTAAGGGATGTTAATAGATGTAGGAGAAAAAAAGATGTGTGCTGGGCAGGAGACTTTATGGTTAATTAAAATTGAGGAATGCTGGATTTGTTTTTGTATTGAAGGACTTGTATGTGTTTTTCACACACTGTTATGTATTGTGAATTTACAAGAGGGTTTAAGGACCATGTTTACTAGACTGACTTGACGCAGTGCCTCCCTCCTTCTGTGTCCAGAGACCCTCCTTTGGGGAACATGGCTCTCTAGTAGAGCAACGAGACTGACCTTTAGAAGACACCCCTCATGGCAATACTGAAAAGTAAATAAATCTGTTACCATGCTTCCCCACAACTTTAATGAACTTTAACAAGTGCCGTGAGGTATACTAGAGAGAAAGTATATTTGTAGTCCCGAGCTATACTTAAAGTATAGAGATTGTTTTCCACCTATGGTGTGTACATCAGTATTGGTTTAGTTTTGCAAGTTTTTAAGGACCCCCATCAGTGTGCAGATACAGTGATGACCTGTGGATATTACACTTTTAATACTGCTTTTGAATGGTACTTTATCGTTTTCAGATTTTTTGCATTATAGCACTCGGAGGCAGGTGTTAAGCATTATCCTTGCTGCACTGAGACACTGGAGGTTTTGAAACTTGTGATTACCCCTCACCTTAAGTTTATACCATAAAAGGATGGAGCCAGAATCCAGTTACGGGAGTTCTGATTCCAGGTCCGGAATTCTTTCTTCCGCACCTGGTTTCTTAGTTTCTTTCTCTAGCTTTCAATTGTGTACCAGGAGATGTGGAGGCGAGTCTTAGAGTAATAGCATTTTGGCTTACTGTAGGGTACCATTTCTTTTCTATTGCAAGAAAGTATTGCTTTCCTTGAACTTAACCCAAAGAAAACCCTCCCTTTGCCCCTGTTTAGATGACTAGAGTGTTCTTGAAAATAGTTTTGGATTTTGAAATCCAGATTGGGTGCATTTACTTTTAATTGTTATGTAACCTTTTGAAAATGTATCAACTTGGCACTCGGGCAAAGTGGACATGGTTCGAAAGTAAAAGGAATATTCAAATATAACAGTATTCTTTATTTTCACATAATTGCTGTTTCTTAGCTTTAATTAACCTGCTTTGACAACCTACTGATGTAAACTTCTTTGTAAATTAAAATATTTATATTTTGAAATAAAATGAATAGTGTTGACTGAATTTGGTGGTAAACTTATTCTCATTTCGGTTAAAAAGTTTTGTCTTTAGTGATGCGAACCTTTCGTGAGTATATCCATCTGTTTCTTAGGCTATGTCTTGCTTTTGCCTCTGGTACATGGCAGTATCTTTTGAAATACTTGTGTTTGGGGAGTAGACGTTGAAAGGGGCCCTAAGCAATGGCTCTCATTTGTACAGGATTTTCACATAGAAGAAATAACTGCTCTGTGTAGCACTGGGCAACAAGCTGAAGAACCAACGAGACAGTACTGTGAGAATCACATGTCAACAGCGCTTGGGATGGCACTTGTCTGATACTTGGAGTTGGGGGCCTCAGTCAGACAATATGAAGGGAGAAACGATCCTGGCCAAGGCCCTCCCACCCTGAGTGTGCCCTGATCTTAGAAGCTAAGCAGGGTCAGCCTGGTTAGTGCTTAGATGGAAGACCACAAGGGAGTGCCAGATGCTGTCGTTTTTGAGGAGCCTAACCAGCATCTCCATCCCACCAGCTGCTCCTCTGGAGAAAGAGGAGGCTTCTGCTCTATGAAAGACTTACACCCTCGGAAACCTAAGGGAGCAGTTTTTCTCTGTCCTATAAAGTCTGAGTCAGAATTGACCGGGTGGCTGTAAGTTTGGGTTCTTTGTGTTAAAGGTGTAGGGTGAACAACTCTTACCAGTTACCCTCCAGTCGATTTGACTCGCGGAACCCCATGTGTGCGTAGCTCTGTACTCCAGAGAGTTTTAAGTAGCCCTGATCCTTCCAAAGTAGTTCTCTGCCCTGGCGGGTCGATCCCACCCAAGATGCCAGAGGAGAGCAGGAGTGGTTAGGAGCAGGGTTGCCTTCAAGGGACCAACCAGTGTGACCATGCTGAGAACTGGAAAGCGGGAGGCCTGGGGTGGAGAATGGGCGGG